TTCAAATAATTTAAATTTCATTTCATAACCATTTCAATTTCGTTACAGAAATAATGTCATAAAAAACCAACACTCACTAGATAAATTATAAAGAGAGGATAAATTGTATGCAGTATTTAAATATTGACTGCAATTAGAAGAGAGACTTGTATATTCCATAAAAAAACAATGGGACGGAGACAAATAAACAACTCGGTACGTCGTGTTTCCGACCTAGGGTAACCTGTGGTTCAGTAACCTTTTAACCCAGTTTTAATTTGCACACGTGCACCATATAGTCCAGGAGCCAGATGTGCAAACAACTTATTCTTAAATATTTGACCTCTTGAATCCAAAGAAACTTGGTCGCAAAGCCTGAAAGTGGTCAGTTTAATTGTTATCAACAAATTAAATGTTTAAATGGCTGTAAAAAGTTTATTTTTATAGCTAGTACAATTTATTCGCTAATAGTTACGTTTTCTCATAACAAATATGTATTTTTTTGGAAATTAAAAAAAATTAACTTTAACCAAAGTTATTGCAAATTTAGTGCAAATTTCTTACATTTTCCGTCTCCGTGCGCACTAATTTTACCATATCTGGTTCTAAGTTCCATTTATTTATTAATTTATTTAATAATTAATGGCATCTTAGAAAGTTGTGAAATTTCAACGAAAATGCCGGTTTTAATTGTTTATAAGGTTTTTTTTATTATTCAACTTCGACGAAAAGCCAAAAAAGTTACCGGATATTGTTCTTTGCATTCTAACAATCAAGCAAGGCATGAAATCATTGTTAGGATGCGAGGAACAATAACCGGTAACTTTTTTGGCTTTTCATAAAAATTGAATAACAAAAAAAGTTTTATAAACCAATAAAGCCAACATTTTCGTTGAAATTCCACAACTTTCTAAGCTGCCATTAATTTTTAAATAAATTAATTAATCAATGGAACTTACCTATCTTGTAAAATAAAGTTTAAGTTTTAAAATGAGATGTGCGTCTCAATCCGTCCAATTGAACCAGAGATATGGTAAAATTGGTGCGCGCAGAGACGGAAAATGTAATATATTTGCACTAAATTTGCAATAACTTTGGTTAAAGTTAATCTTTTTTTAATTTTCAAAAAAATATATGTTTGTTGTGAGAAAACGTAATAATTAACAGATAAAAAATTGTACTAGCTATAAAAATAAACTTTTTACAGCCATTTAAACATTCAATTTGTTAACAACAATTAAACTGACCACTTTCAGGCTTTGCCACCAAGTTTTTTGGTTTCGAGAAGTCAAAATACTTAAAAATAAGTTATTTGCAGCCGTGGAATTCTGTTTGGCTACGGAAACCTATCTGGCCCCTAGCCCCTAGACTAATACGAGTGTAGTAGCAAAAAGTTGTCGGTCTTTTATCAAAGGAAAATCGTATCAACAAATTTAATTTAAAATCTAAAATACCGGCTGTTTTCGTAGTAGCTGTAGTCGCCCAGGTGCATCGAGTGTACGAAGTGGTCGGTTATATGTCAAATACTAACCTGGCGAGCTTGAACCTGAACTTGGCAACGCTGTTCCTTTAGCCGACAACTGTTCGTGACATTACGTTACAAAATTTTCCGAGCATCCGGGCATCGGCAGGGCAGCCCTCGTAGCGGGGGGTATGGGGTGATTTCCTTCATTTTTAAAAGTCGAGTAAAAAATTTTTTTTTCCGATTTTCTGTCTTTATTAAGCTTTCCGAATACGTGGTTAAAATTAATGACATTATGACTGAATCACCCTGTATATTGTGAAAATTTACAATATTTGAAAAATTCCTTGTTATATCTAAAAATGTTATATCCAAAATATTATGGCTGTAACTGACTTTTCATAAGTGAAAAAATAAAATGCCGTTTTAACTAGTGGATTTTATATTGCTGATAATATTTTTCATTAAATTTTTACATTTTTAGGACATTAATAATAATTATACTGTATTTACAAATTTTCATCAGAAATATAACATAAAGAATGAAAATTGCAGTGCCGTACATATTTGTTGGAACAATTCTCCGAAATTGTATAAGTCTAAAATGAGTTTTATCCTAAATTCAAGAGAAATTAAATTTATACCGTAGAAATTATGATGGCATTGTCTTTAAGTTAAAAAAAAATATGTATAGAGAATCGAGAAAATATTTTGAGAAATTTCGAAATTTAATGACGTGCAAAAAAGTATTATTCTTAAATAAATAATTAACAATTAATTTTATTTCAATATTCATGAGAATTCCTATATAAATACTTACATTTAAAACAGTGATATAATATATGTTTTGAAGTAACAGTACCCTCGCATTTGCATATGTATTTGTAACAATTTATTTATGCAAAAATTGTGATGAAGCCATTGGCATAGAATATATGTTTAACATTAGTAAAAATAATTTAAAAGTGCATTTGTTACAAAAACAACAAACAGATTGTCGGTCATAAACATGAATAAAACCACATAAAAATGTATACGCTGAAAAGAAAAAAGAGGCAGAGAAAAATGTTTCGATGACCAACTAGAATGTCGATAATTTTAATTTTAAAATAAAAATAATTCCAAATTTTTAAAAAAAATATTCGAATGCACATTTTTTTATTGATTTTATAATAATATTTTTTTTTATTTTGAAAAAATTTTACTTATGTAGGTACTTGTGAAAAAAAAATTAATATACAAACTTTTCAAAATAAAATTATTAATTTTTATATCGTCCTATGGTTTTTTAACGNGAGAGCTCTGGCGCTTGTTTAAACATTGGTCGAATTTTTGTACTTATAAACAATTAGAATAACTTTGTGAATATTCAATCAAATCAAATTTTTTAAAACAGGTTTTAAAAGTTCTTGGAAAAGAAAAGATTCATAATTAAATAGGAAGAAAAATATGACATTTTTCGAATTTTTTTAACATATTGTGCCGCCAAAAGTTAAGCCCCTGTTTTTTTTTATGCGCATAGAAAAACTTTCATTTCTAGTGATATTTGAAAGCCAAAAAGCCAAAAATCTCGGTGGATATACGATTACTACAGCTACAGTTACAGTCTTTCGATCAAAATCCACAAAATTTGTATAAATCAACCGTTCAACGAATTTGAAAGACACCCATTGGTCTTTAATCATTACTACAAGATTCACAATTTGGAGTATTTGCCTGAACGTCACATCAGAATCTTTTTCGGCATGTTCTTTGGACGGACGAAAGTCGGTTTGTCAATAATGGTTTGCCAAATAGGCGCAACGAACACTACTGGTCTATTGAAAGTCGCCCATTGTAAATCCAGTTCAAAACTAACAATAGGGCTATTTTGGAGTAAATGTATGGTGCGGCATCATCGGTAGGCATTTAATTGGGCCTTATTTTTATGAACATACATTGCACAGCGTGAGTTACCTAAATTTCCTACAAGAAAAACTTGCACTTTTGGAGAATGTGTATGTGCAGCTAAGGGGAAACTTCTAGTTTCAGCACGACGGGGCTCCACCCCACAAGACCAGGATTGTGCAGCAATATTTAGATAACACTTTCCCAGAAAATTTTATTGGGCTTAATGGACTTATTCAGTGGCATGGAAAATCACCAGATCTAACACCCCTCGATTTTTTTTATGGGAAGTTTAAAAAATAAGGTTTACAAAACACCTTCGCCAGATATTAATCATTTGAAAGAAAAAAACGCTTGTAACGCTCATAATGAGTTAAACAGCGAAGTGTTAATAAACGCAGCCCACAAAGGCGAAGTCAGACGAAGATTGGATGTGTGTCTTGAAATGAGAGGAGGTCATATAGAGAATAGATTGTAATATGTATGTAGTATGAAAGCGTTTGCCTCATTTTTTAAGTTTAGTTATTGTTATCATCATCTTTTTTTTAACTGTAAAAGAATTATCGAGTTTAATCCTTTTATTTATTTTTAATGACATTTATTCACCTTAAACAATGAACATTCAATTATTTTCCAACGACTACGTGATCCTTCCACCGCTAATGTGATTTTTATGTGGTATTTCTTTTGAGAATCTTTAGGACGATATTGCTTATCACTTTTAAACGGGAAGTAATACGGACAAAATTCTATAATGAAAGTTTATTAGAAAGAATAGAGCTTTTTAACAAGAAAAAAATTTGGGTATGTTTCTGGAAAAAATATAATTGATGACGTCGTTAGTCAAAAATATCATATCATCAAATTTTAGGGTTTTGACCTTTATTTGACCTTGTTTCTGACACTTCAAGGTCAAGAGAACTCCAGATTCAGATTTAGCCACCCCGAAAACATATATATAAATTTTTCCAGATTTTTTAATAGTCATTCCGCAATTTGACCTTCAGATGCCCTTGACCCTGACATGATGGGGTTAAACGGACCCCGTATTCGGATTCAGCAACCCCAAAAACATAAAGTGCACCTCTTCAGATATCGGAGAAAATAATTTCAATTTTTTTTTGTGGGCCTTTTTAATACTTTTAAATTTTTCATCCTCACAATAGGCCCATACTATCGAGTTTGAGACATCCTGTACAATAGCACTTGGCATACGTCTGTCAGGATCTCCGGAACACGGAAGGCATCACGCCTGCTTTTTCTGCATTCCTCATAAATTAGGATCACATCCAATTTTTCCTGATTTGTAAAATCGTCGTTATTCATTTTGAATATGTGCTAATTTTGTTCGAAGCAACTTATTAGTACAAATTTTAAGAACACTTCGTGTAATACGTTCACAACGTATTACACGAAGTAGAACAAAGAAGACTTGAAAATGGCAAGTGTGATCTTGCCGAAACGTCGTCCAGAACACGATTCTATCCAGAATCAAGAAAACCATACGCGGAGAGGAACCCGGAAACATCTTGACAACACATATAATATCCGCGGAAATCTGAAGTTCAACATATATATATTTATAATTAAAAATTAGTACAATTGTTATTATTGTTAGAAGTAAAATATTTTTAAATTTGTGTTCTGAATTTATACAAACGTTTTTAGAATTTGCAACATTTTTGAGAAGAACAGAGCACCTGCGAATACATACTGGCGAAAGGCCATATATTTGCGCATACTGTGGAATAAGTTTTACGAAATACTCAACTCGTTATGCCCATGAAATGAGGCATAAAATTAAAAATGGCGAAATTCCCAAAAGTGATAAGAAACCCAAAAAATATACAAGGAGAAAACCTGATGACCCCGCAGAATTAGAGTGCACCTTATGTAGCAAGATATTTTCTTCAAAACAAGCCCTTAGTGTTCACATGCAAATTCATCTTGGAGAAAAATCATTTTTGTGTACAGTTTGTGGTAAAGGTTTCCTTCGAAAAAGCCACTTGGAAGTACATATAAGGATTCATACGGGAGAGAAACCATATGAGTGCAGCAACTGTGGCAAACATTTCAGGCAAGCAGCTTGTTACAGAAATCATTTATTGATCCATAAAGGAGAAAGATCTTATAAATGTGATGTTTGCCAAAGGACATTTATCCAATTAGGTCATCTGCAAACTCATATCAAAACGCACACTGGTGAAAAACCATATAGGTGCACTTTTTGTGGGAAAAGTTTTGCTCAAAATGGAAATTTAAAAGCTCATACCAGAATTCACACTGGAGAGAGACCATATCAATGTTCCATTTGCTATATAGGTTTTTACGATTCAACCAGTATGAAAAAACATAAAAAGTCACATGGAAATACTGAAGAGACTGATAGTAGCTTTATAAGTAGTCAATGAGAATTTATTAAAGTTGTTTAAATTAGTTGCATTTCTTGTTTATCACATAGTTGCATTTGAAATTAGTAAATAAGGACAATAAGCCCTTGTTTATGAAATATAATACTAACAACTCGAATAAGCTATGCCAATTTTCTGTGAGACAATAAATTATAATTTTAATATGCAATATACAACCAAACACGCAAGAATGGAATGTGTTTAAAAATATTTTAATATAGATAAAATAACTACGTTTTTCACAAATCTAAACATCACTTTAATAATGAACACAACATTAGAGAATTACTAAATCATATTTGTTTAGCACATATTACTTATCTTATATTTCCTGGTGGGATTAAGAGGGTTCTGTAGCAAATAGGCAACCAGCAATACATTTTTATAGATTTTATTACTCAGTTTATCTAAATATCAGCCTTTCTTTCATTCTAACGCAGTTTTTCTATAAAATGAGTTAGTTTGAAACTCAAATTACTTTTTGTTATAAAGAAATTTTTAATTTGCCTCTTTTGAACAAGCGGCATCTTACATTATAAATTTCTTTACACCAAAAAGTTATTGGGGTTTCAAACTAAGTCAATATTATAGAAAATCTGTTGGTAAATCTATAAAGCAACATCAAATTTTTTTATTTTTCAATTTTACGTCAAGAATAACCAATCAAAATTAAAGGAGTGCATTTGTTGACAATTGCATCACAGATTAGTAAAAAGTTTTATATATCGGTTAGCTGTGTATTTTCTCTCCCCCCACCTCGTGTTACAGCAGCGCTTGTTTTGACGCATTCTCACACTATAAGGGAACGAACTTCACTGATTGGGTACTTTAAAATTCATGTTATCTAATTTTATTTAGATATACAGATTGTTACGATTTATAGGTTACAAGTCATTAACATATACAGGGTGTCCGGTAAATAATGGATAACCTTTTAACCGAGGATGGGGGACCCTAAGGCCGTTCTGAAAAACGACTTGTCTTAGTACAAAGTCCCTTCGTTTTCAGTTATTTCGGTTTTTTACTACGGCCACAAGAGAACGTATTATCTTTCAGTTATTTTGCGTAATATTCTTGAATTGTGTTATTATCAGATGCTTATCGGAATTTTTAACTAGCGATAGTACTTGTTTAAAAAAATCTTAAACTTAAATTTTACGTTAGTCAGCGAAGATACAAACAAAAGCTCCGAAGGGCATTCATAAGAAGGTGCAGCCTGAATCAGAGAAGGCGGACCAATAACTGTTGTTATTGTTGTTATTATTATTATTATTATTATTATTATTATTATTATTATTATTATTATTATTATTA